AAAATATATGTTTTTCTTAAAACCTATTAATACAACTTTAATATAAAGTAGGCCCTACTCATATAGTGACTATGTTTTTCCTGGAAAATGCATTAATAAGCATGCCAACAACAGGAAGTTTAATATTGCTTTTACGCTGCAACCTTTCCCCAGTCGCAGAACACAAAGGGGCGGCCGGCCGAACGGGCTTAGGGGTGGCGCCGTAGTAAATCCGCCACTGCTTGTACGATCATTTACGCCGGTCAATCTGGCAACACTGTATTTAAGGCCTAATAAAATTGCCTTGCCCTGGTCCGCAGCACTCAAAGGAACTTGTGTGAACCTGGCAATAACTTGGCAATAAGTAGTGCGCGCGCCTTATAAAATCTATTGCTGGCCGTTTTGCGTAAAAATATGGCCGCGTAGGTTATTACCGATAGTGTCACCTGACAGAGGACACATTAACGGACACGACAGTATCCATATCATATGCCTGAGGGGTAAGTTAACGGGGGTAAAGTTGGCAGAAAGTAGTGATCGCGCCCGAAAAAATCTATAGCTGGCCATTTTACGGAAAAATACAGCTGCGTAGGTTTTTCCCGAGAGTGTCAGCTGATAGAGGACACTTTTACGGACACGACAGTATTAATAGTATGCACTGGGGGGGTAACTTAAGGGGGGTTAAGACCGCAATAAGTAGTGCTCGCGCCCGAAAAATCTATTGCTGGCCATTTTACGGAAAAATACGGCCGCGTAGGTTATTACCGAGAGTGTCAGCTGATAGAGGACACTTTTACGGACACGACAGTATCAATATCATGTACCTGGGGGGTAAGTTAGGAGGTAAGTTAGGGGGGTAAAGTAGGCAAAAAGTAGTACACAATTTATTATGGGTGTGTTAAGTATTTCAGTCGTGGTTTGATGAAAGTGTTACATAACTACATCATTATATCAATATTAGTGTTTGTAAAGTGTTGAAATCAAATAAAAAAACCTTAGTTTCCATCCGTCTATCAGAATGTTTATATCAAGGAGGTTAAAAATTTTACATTTAATTGATCACACATCTTATTAACTTTTATTACCCTGATAATTAGACTAATTCGTTAATTACAAGGCAGAAATGTGGTTCGAATTCCCCTATTAACCCCCTTAATTGTCTTTTGCTGTATTGGCTATTAATTAAACATTTTTGTCAAAGGAATATGTCGGCCTTAGTCCCTTTCAAAACTAAAAGGTTGGGCTACTCATCCTACACTCATCTCCATTAATTCTTGGCTTAAAATACCTACATTGGTAGGGTCGCCATTTCAAAGTAAAGTATTAAAGTCAATCAATCAATTATTTAAGGGGAACGCCACTATGTGCGTATTTTAATCCAAATATGACTGAAGGATGAGAAAGCATTACTTTATTAGGTTAGTTTATACTTTGGTAATAATTAACTCATACACTAAAAGCTGGTTAATTTAATAGATTGACGTACTTTTATCACAGGCTAAAAAAGCCTATATTAAAATTTTTATTTTATCTTTGTATGGATTTCAAGCGTCTTATTATGTTGTACCTAAGCGTACCATCTTAAAACAAATGTCTTTAGTATTGGTTAATTGTGAGGTAAAATAAGATAAGTGGGTTTACAAACACAGTCAGTAGGTAGCAGTACAGTATACAGTATTGTATTGAAATTGATAATAACATATTATGAATAACATCAATGTTATTACTTGTTCATTAGAATAATTGAATGATTGATAATACATTTAAATAAGAGTGAACTCCAGTTTTTCAGCCCCACTCGTCTCACGGGCCTCTCTGCTCATCGTTTCCCGCTCGCCGGTTCGCGGGCCCCCTCAGGTTCCGGGCCCCCCGGCATTGCCGGCCCTGCGAGCTCTTCTGTTACGCCACTGGTTTAGGCCTACTTCAACGCAACTGCGATCAACATAATTGCGAGTTGTGAGTTATTATTTAAAAATGTAGCTCTTGCCATGGTTTAAATTGTAAATTTATATGTTTGTAGATAGATAGTTTTGTTTGAGCAGACCAATGCCTATTAGTTTTGAATTATTTACTATTTCAATAACATGGTTAGTAGACGCGAGTAGAGTAGACAACAGAAAGACTAGACCTACTAAGTAAAATACTTGAAGTAGGCCTAGTCTACTAAATTAATAGAATTATTTATACTTTCAGCAAAATATTAGTTATATTTTAATATTACTAACACACAGTTGTGATGATTGACACACGGTTAATGTGTCTTCTATCTGTAATAACGTATTCGGCCGTATTTTTCCACAAAACGGACAGCAATAGATTTTTTAAGGGTTGCGCACTACTTATTGCTGACTTTACCCCCCTAACTTAGTCCCCAGGTACATGATATTGATACTGTCGTGTCCGTAATGTGTCATCTATCAGCTGACACTCTCGGTAATAACCTACGCGGCCGTATTTTTCCGTAAATTTATTTATTTATTTATTTACTACATGTCATTACATCATTTTTTGACAGGACATAAAGTCATATACAGGATATACTAAAACTAAGAAAAACAAAAATGTCTTACTAAATTATTAATCTAACTTAACGTAAAACGTAAAATGGCCAGCGATAGATTTTTTCGGGCGCGAGCACTGCTTTTTGCCGACTTTACCCCCCCTAACTTACCCCCCAGGTAGGCTACATGATATTGATACTGTCGTGTCCGTAAAAGTGTCCTCTATCAGCTGACACTCTCGTTAATAACCTACGCAGCCGTATTTTTCCATAAAATGGCCAGCAATAGATTTTATAAGGCACGCGCACTACTTATTGCCAAGTTATTGCCAGGTTCAGCGATAGATTTTTTCGGGCGCGAGCACTGCTTTTTGCCAACTTTACCCCCCCTTAGTTACCCCACAGGTACATGATATTGATACTGTCGTGTCCGTAAAAGTGTCTTCTATCAGCTGACACTCTCGGTAATAACCTACGCGTCCATATTTTTCCGTAAAATGGCCAGCCATAGATTTGTTCGGGCGCGAGCACTACTTATTGCTGACTTAACCCCCCTTAACTTACCCCCCAGGTACATGATGTTTATACTGTCGTGTCCGTTAACCCTCCGAGTGACCCTTGTTTTGGCCTTAATGTCTGCCTATTTTTTGCTCATTTGCAAGGTTTTATTAACCCTTAGAGTGCCAGGCGAGAAATAAAAGTAACGCTCAAAAAATGCCGATGATTTTTCCCGAAGGTCGCGCTAAAAATCCCGAGCGCGATCTGGCGATTTTTAGGTTGAAATTTCGTAAAAATCGAATTTTCGATATTTCGACCAACGAAAATCGATGTATCGCATCTAGTAACTTTCGACTCAATGTTAATATATGGGTTAAAAGAATCCGAGTACCTATCCATTCGGTTGTTATGACAACTGATCGATCATTACGAAACGTCCGGTCGGCCGGACGTTGGCACTTTTGGCTCGTTTTAAAAACGTCCGGTTCCGCGGACGTTGGCACTCAAAGGGTTAAAACGGATCTGAGAAGCTTGAAAACAATGTTAGGCTAATTATACTGTTCTATATATAGGCCTACCATTTTGTTTGGAAAATCATGGGCTTCAATATTATACATAGAACATAAGGAACATTTGTTTCAAAAAAATTTTTTAGGTTAAAAAAGATTAGGCTACTTTGGAAAATTTAAAAAAAAAAAATTAGTTCGCGCTCAATGAAATTGTATAAATTACATGCCTATAAATATTTGAAAATTTAGCACTTTGTTTAAATTTTATGAGGATTACAAATATATAATAATATTAGGAAGTAGAATTGCAAATAAATAAGTTATAGGCAAAAAACAGATTTCAGTACATAGCCTTTAGCTAAGAATGCATAGCCTAACCTTAGCTAGGAATCTGGCTGATAATTTACATCAATATCACTACCTACTTCTTCAGGATCATCAACCAGCCCTTCAAAATCACTTAAATCTTCTTAAAATAAACCACGTAAATCACTACTTTTGATTTTTAACACTAAAACAATGATAAACATAATAAAACACATCAGTCATCGGTCCGAGGTTAACCAAGCTGTTTACAAATACGCACGTCAGCTGTCTGCTACAATATTTTCGGAGCTAAAATGAATAGCGCTTAGAGACAGACCTCCGGAGAAAGCTCTGAATCTGTCAAATAAAACGAAACCTTACTCGATCCTGTTCAATCCGATTTTGTCAGTCATAGAGCCTTCGACTTAAACAGTGTTTGTGAGTCGCTGCAGCGACACAAAACACTACACAAAGTGTGTTATGTGTCGCTGCAGCGACAAATAACACTCGGAGGGTTAATGTGTGCTCTATGAGCTGACACTCTCGGTAATAACCTACGCGGCCGTATTTTCCGCTAAACGGCCAGCAATAGATTTTATCGACTTATTGCTGACTTTACACCCCTAACTTACCCCCCCAGGTACATGATATTGATACTGACGTGTCTGTTAGTGTCCTCTATCTGGTGACATCATTGGTAATATAGTACGCGACCGTATTTTCCCGCAAAACGGCCAGGAATAGATTTTATAGGGCGCGCGCACTACTTATTGCTGGAGTTATTGCCAGGTTCACACCAATCTCAAAGGATTAAATACTTAATGGTTATAACAAATAACTTAGTCCACCAGAGTGCCGACAATTAGAAATCGGGCAAACCTGTAAAAGGTTTAGCATAGTCTATACATTTAGCATATGCCTACCTATTTAGAAGTTAGACCATTGTGTAAGCCTACAAAATACGGCTTGTGTAGGCTCTGATCCTTCAAGTTACTAGCCTAGGCCTATGCCTGATTATTTTTATTAACTGAAGTAACTAGGGCCTACCATTTGCAGCGATTTACCACTACGTTTAGGCCTAATGCAAAGTTTATCCCTAGGCTAACTAAGCCTTGGCCTAATAATCAGTCTAAGTTTACTCACTGAACACACGCTTGACCATGCCTATTGTTTTGTTCGAATTGGAACTAAAATAAAAAATTACTCACATCTGCGGTGCCCATGTCTAGAAGTTCAAAATTTACTTTATCAATAAATTAACTTTGTGCAATTAAGGTAGATTGAATCAACTAAACACCTCAATTTGCAAAGAAAAAGAAATTGGGAGCACGGCAACTGAAACTGAAAATGCCGGAATCTCACCTCACCACAATAATGTACCAAACAAAATGGCTGACTTGAACTTTCAACTTGAACTGCTTGCTTGCTTGGCTTCACTGCAGTGTTACCCTTTCCACAGTCCACACGACCAAAAAATAATCCCGCTTACTGGTTCGAGAAATCCCGGTTAATCCCGCTTTTAAATTGTGAAAAATTCCGTTTTATTCCGCATTTTTGTTTTGTTCAATCCCGAGTTTTATATTTGACCAGAATAAATTCTCCATACTATGATTTGACGTATCTGTATCATGTTTTAAAAGTTGTTTAAACATTTCTATCATAGATGAAGTAATGTAAGGTGTTTATTTATTCTATGCTATTATATTTTGTTACTGTTACAGTTTTTTAATCATTTGGAGTTTGTTTTGTCTCGTAATTAAGTAGGAAAAAATAAAAAATAGCTGTCATAGCTGAAAATTCCGTTTTATCCCGCATCTCATTTTAATCCCGCTCAAGGTCTGAAAGTTCCGTTTTCGGGAATCGGGATAATAGTCCTGCGAATGGAAACACTGCGAACGCTTGAATGAAGACAGAAGGGAGACAGAAGTAAGAAGAGAGGAGACAAAAGGGGAAGGGACAAGAAAAACGCAAAAGCGCGGACTGGGGTGTGGGAAGAGTGCCACACATCTATAAGTATAAAAGATGATGTTTGTATCTATAAGTATAAAAGAGGATGTTTGTATATATATATATATACTAGCTGACCCGGCGAACTTTCTGACCCCTCGCCTAAGTTATAGGTTTCCCCTAAGACAGACCGATGGAAAGAAAGTACCGTTACGTTTAATTTTCAAGATGATCTCGTTCGCATCGCTCAATCACGTCCTGGTTGAAGTTCGTTTGCTACGCTCACTCACCTTTGGGTTGGAGCTCGTTCGCTACGCTCACTCACCTTTAGGTTGGAGCTCGTTCGCTGCGCTCACTTGCCTTCAGGTTAGCTCGTTCGCTACGCTAACTCGCCTCCAGGTTGAAGTTCGTTCGCTACGCTCACTCACCTTTTGGTTGCAAATTAGCTGTTGTCATAAATGTAAAAAAATAATAGTGCTGCACCCTGTTGGTAATCCTTGTAACTTTAATGCTATTGAACATCATAGAACAGAACCAACTTGTTTAATTGAAACAGCTGTTAAGATTCATTAATTCCATTTCTCATAAGGTTAACATGGGAAACTCCAGAGCCACTGGGGCGGAGCCCTTTTAAGAATTTCGAAACGGGAAATAGTTTACGTCCGATTCGCATACCTACAGAATTTACACACCAAATTTCATAACGATCGGTGAAGTCGTTCCGGAGGAGTTTGCAGACAAACACTGTGACACGAGAATTTTATATATTAGATATATATATATATAGATATATATATATAGATATAGATATATATATATATATTTGTTTGGCAGTGATAAGATCAGACACCGCTGAACCGATTGCCACGAAACTTGGTATATACGTGTAGAGTTTCATGGAATAGGTTTATACACCATCAATTTCGCGATTCGTCCAATCGGCTCCACCCCAGTGGCTCTGGAGTTTCCCATGTTAACCTTATGAGAAATGGAATTAATGAATCTTAACAGCTGTTTCAATTAAACAAGTTGGTTCTGTTCTATGATGTTCAATAGCATTAAAGTTACAAGGATTACCAACAGGGTGGAGTACTATTATTTCTTTTACATTTATGACAACAGCTAATTTGCAACCAAAAGGTGAGTGAGCGTAGCGAACGAACTTCAACCTGGAGGCGAGTTAGCGTAGCGAACGGGCTAACCTGAAGGCAAGTGAGCGTAGCGAACGAGCTAACCTGAAGGCAAGTGAGCGTAGCGAACGAGCTAACCTGAAGGCAAGTGAGCGCAGCGAACGAGCTCCAACCTAAAGGTGAGTGAGCGAAGCGAACGAGCTCCAACCTAAAGGTGAGTGAGCGTAGCGAACGAACTTCAACCAGGACGTGATTGAGCCATGCGACCGAGATCATCTTGAAAATACTGTCATTAATAACCATGAATGAAAATAACCATTAATAATTAAGCTAGCATAACCTAGCATTAATATAAGAGCAATAATAAAGAATCGGTTATCCTTTGTACTATGTGTTTCATTAGTTGTCGTAGGTACGTATTTTAATATAGTTATAAGCACTTCATATACAATAAGACAATTAAACGTTACGGTACTTAAATTATAAATACTCAAAGGCAAGACAACGTCTGCCGGGTTCAGCTAGTATATATATATATTTGTTTGGCAGTGATAAACTCAGACACCGCTGAACCGATTGCCACGAAACCTTGGTACATACGTGTAGAATTTCATGGAATAGGTTTATACACCATCAATTTCGTGATCCGTCCAATCGGCTCCGCCCCAGTGGCTCTAGAGTTTCCCATGCTAACCTTATGAGAAATGGAATTAATGAATCTTAACAGCTGTTTCAATTAAACAAGTTGGTTCTGTTCTATGATGTTCAATAGCAAGTTACAAGGATTACCAACAAGGTGCAGCACTATTATTTCTTTTACATTTATGACAACAGCTAATTTGCAACCAAAAAGTGAGTGAGCGTAGCGAACGAACTTCAACCTGGAGGCGAGTTAGCGTAGCGAACGAGCTAACCTGAAGGCAAGTGAGCGCAGCGAACGAGCTCCAACCTAAAGGTGAGTGAGCGTAGCGAACGAGTTCTAACCTAAAGGTGAGTGAGCATAGCGAACGAACTTCAACCAGGACGTGATTGAGCCATGCGAACGAGATCATCTTGAAAATCAAGAAGTTAAACGGGGCAAAGCCCGCGGGTTACAGCTAGTTATAATATAAATATAAATTCAATATTATTATAATATAAATTTATAATATAAATAATATACATAAGGTGGTTAATTATACTAAAAAAGGTTTAATATCAATTAATATATGTAAAATTATACTTTATTCTCGAAAACAACCCGAAAAAGTACAAAATTTTGATAATCAGCTCTATAAACTCAATAACTCGTTTATTGAACCAAGTAGACACAATTACATGTATAGGTTAGGTCAAAATAATATTATATGCATTGGAATTGAACTTAAAATAATAAAATTAACTTAAATATACTATTTACAAATCCTGTCTAAAGGAAAATCAAGATTCTAGCCGTCAGTCAGGAAGTCACGGACGCTGTAGAAGCATTTATTTAATAGAAAAGATTTTAACTTTCTTTTGAATTTCAGATGGTCTGACTCTGCCTTTAGTTGCGTTGGAAGGTGGTTGAAGATAGTGATGGGAGTGAAATCACGTCACTGATATTTGAAAATCACCGTGGTAACTGATACGTCAAGGCGTCTAGTATCAGTGATTAACGGTGACGGTTACTCGTTCACCGTCACTCTGTAACCGTGGTGTGACTGGGACTGTGACTGACTGTGATACACGTTTGCTGCTATCGGTGATGGGCGTGATGGGTAGCTAACCCATATACCCTGTTGCTGTTGCTGGATTATTCCGAGTTCTGATTTCTATTAATTCGCAATTTCGAGCGCGTTTTCGTCTACGTTCTTTGTTTCTTATGAATAACAATGAATAGGCCTAAAACAAGTCCTGTAAGGAAATCTTTTACACCTGTTTTTATTTATGTAGATACTTTTTTGTATTTGAACCTTGTTTGATACATAATTAAATTATTTTCTCATCTTAAGGATTATTTCATGTATTCACCTTTACTTTTTTCTAGTAAAATAAACCCGACACAATTCCCAGCAAAGGAATTCACATTACATATCAATTAACATACATATTAATTCATTACATTACATTTATTAAATTACATTTATTAAATTACATTTATTTGTTACATATTAATTAATTGTTGATGTCAAGCATGCGCGAAGTTAGCATGGTAGGTATGGTATTGGTATTAGCAGAAATAACATCCAACAAAATGACAAAGGAGCGGTAGTAGTATAATCACCGTTAATCACTGATACGAATCACTGATACCAAAGAATCACGGTAGCAGTGATCACCGATAGAGCAAAGTAACTGATATTTCCATCCCTAGTTGAAGATATTTACTGCATTGTAACGGAGATTTTTTTGAAAAAAGGTTGTACAGTGGACAGGGACTGGAAGATTATAAGAAGATATTAAATTGTAAGCATGGTTATGGGAATTGTTGAACCTGTCGATGTTTTGTTTTAGGAATGACAAAAGGTTTTGTAGATGTAAAGTTGAAAAAATGGTTTGCAGGTTTGTCGTGTTTTAAAAGAAAATATAGCTCTAATTGCCCGCTTCTGCAAACGGAATAGAAATAAGGACCACTTATTCTCATACCCCCATATGGGCAAGGCATAGGTAAGATTTGGGAAAATAAGGCCATAATAGGCGGAAAGTAGGACATCAGATTTCGTCGAATTTGCAAGGGTGCGGATGGCAAATATTCCTGAACTAACTTTTTTATTACGTGGTCAATATGATGGTAAAATTTTAACTTGTCGTCTAAAAACAATCCGAGAAATTTAGTGCAACTAATGGGGTGGACAGGATACTCATCTAGATGAAAGCTAAACGATGAGGAAGAACGATCAGAGATGTGGAAATTAAGAAGATGCGTTTTAAGGGAATTGACAGAGAGCAGATTGTCGTCAAACCACTGAGCTAAACTGTTGGCCTCTGCAAATGTTAATTGTTCTATGGATTCCACAGTGGGGCCGGACAATGCGAGAGACGTGTTGTCGGCATAAAGGAAAGCCCTGGTCGATTGGATTCCAGTGTGGAGATCGTTTACAAACAACAGAAACAGAGTAGGGCCAAGAATGGAACCCTGGGGCACACCACTCAATGTAGGACGTTCGGGTGAGTTATATTGTCGTAGTAATCCATGTTCATCAACGGACGACACCCTTACGCATTGCCTCCTTCCCTTCAAATACGAGCAGAACCACTCTAGAGCCAAGCCTCTGATTCCAATACTTTTCATTTTCTCAAGTAGGAGGTCATGATTTACTGAGTCGAAAGCCTTGCTCAGATCAAAGAACAGGCCTGCAGAACAGTTCCCCTCATCAAGTGCACT